CCCCAAAACCCCAAAACCCCAAAACCCCTACAAGCATTAGGCATGGATATTCTAGGATTTGAAGAATATTATAAATTAAAAAGGATATGTTTGCCAAATAGACTATACTTCTAGTGGGATTTATAGCATCTTATGCTTATTCTGTAAAAGATTTTTTATTTAATATTCCTTCGTAGAATTTCCTATAAGCACCGCAAGATAGCTCAGGTTTTCCACCTCTTTCAATGGATCCATCAAGTTTTTCAAATGCTGATAAAATTGCCACAACCAATTTCCAACTTGATGTGACTGTAGATTTCGATAAATCTTCTATCTCAGGAACTAATACTTTGACTTTCTAAGTCTTATTCGATGGTGTAACTGAAATCGTTCTTGATTATCAAGGCCTTGATATATCACTATGTGAAGTGATGGGTTAAGATGGCAAGTTCAATCAGGTTGAAACAGATACTCATTTTGACAATAATCTCGGATCTGCTATTAAACTTTACCTTACTGATAGTAATTAACAAATCAAATTAATTTATAATTTAGAGGTAATTACAGGATAATCAGTTGTAGCTAGAATCACCTATGCAACAAATAAAGACTCCTAGGCCATAAATTGGTTAACTGAGGAGCAAACTACAACGAAGAAACTTAAATATCTTTTCACACAATGTGAACCTATCCATTGTAGATCAGTGGCACCTCTATAGGATACACCATCAATCAAAACAACTTATTCAGCTAATGTTAGAGTTAAGGATCCCTATGTTGTTAAAATGAGTGCAGAAGAAACTGATCCAACTAAGAATACTGATGGCACAACAACTTATCACTTTAATTAAGCAATAAAGATACCATCGTATCTGCTAGCTATGGCTGTCGGAAATATTCAATACTAAAAGATAGGTGACAGAACAGGAGTAATCTCTGAACCTGGTGAAAACGCCCTTGATAAATATGTAGTTGAATTAAAAGATCTTGAAACTTTACTTGACGAGACTGAGAAATGGCTTACTAAGTATATTTGGGGAAAGTATACTATATTAATTCTACCAGCTTCTTTTCCTTTTGGAGGTATGGAAAATCCTCTCCTAACCTTTGCGTCGCCAACTATCATAGTAGGAGATGGGTCCCAAGTTTATGTTGCAACCCATGAAATTGCTCACTCATGGACTGGTAATGATGTTACTTGTAGAGACTGGTCAAATATGTGGCTAAATGAGGGTTTTACTGTTTTTGAAGAGAGAAAAGTCTCTGAAATTCTTCACAAAGATGAGCCAGATTTCGCACTTCTTGAAGCTCAGCTTGGTAATGTTGATCTCTGGGTAGATATTATGAACTATGGAGTAGATAACTCTTACTCAAGTCTTTATCCACAATTGAATGGCCACTCTCCAGATGATTCATTCTCAGAACTTCCATACGAGAAAGGATTTTAATTCCTTACTTATCTTGAGTCACTGATGAAGACAAAGGATGATTTCTAGGATTTTATCAGAGCCTACATTCTCAACCATCAGCAGCAAAGTATAACCTATTTAGAGTTAAAAGCATTCTTTGAGAGTTACGTGACTACTAAATATGGCGCAGCCACAGCTCAAGGAATCTTTGCTAAAATCGATTGGGACTCATGGATTAACAAAGCAGGAAAGAATCCCAAAGAGTGGAATATCGATTTTACCACCGACTCGTAAAGGAAGTTTGAAAAGCTAGCAGATGACTATATTGATACTGGAGCTCGACCTGCGAATTATAAAGATTATGTAGACACTAAAGATCCATAGCTTAAGGTTATCTTCTTAAATAGACTTACAGCCAGATAGAATGAACTTACTTCAAGTCTAATGAGTCTTATTGATTCTGACTTAAATTGCACTTGGGATAAGAATCCAGAAATCGGACAAAGATGGCTTCCACTTGCCATTACAATGAAATACGAATATGCATACAACGGTGATGACTCAGGTGCTCATTACTATATCTCATGGCAAGGGAGAATGAAGTACATCAACCCAATCTACTAGCAATTAGTTAGATATGGAAGAAGAGATCTTGCCTACAAATGGTTCAAGCAATACTAGAATTTCTATCATCCACTAGCTATTGCTGGTCTTAAAAAGATTATCTTTGCATCAGCAACTGAAGAAGAAAATCTTATGCTACAAAGAGCTGAAAAAGCTGTAAACTTGGGTCTTATTAAACTCTGAGCTAAGTTTATATTTTAGTCTTAATTTCATCAATCTCAATCTGCATCGCTTAATTCTGCAATATGGGGTTTTGGGGTTTTGGGGTTTTGGGG